CTGAATCTAAATTTTGCATGGACTCTGAAACAAACAGATCTGTGTATATGAAATTAGGTCATTCCTCCTCCTGAAGTTCTTTCCACACTCCAGGCACTTATATGGCTTCTCCCCGGTTTGGATAACTTTATGGGAAGATTACTGCTTTCAGGAACCATATGGTTTTTCCCGTGTGGATCCTTTTATGAGAAATAAGAGAACTGTTTCTGGTGAAGCTCTTTTCACACTCCAAGCACTTATATGGTTTCTCCCCTGTGTGGATCCTTTTATGGGAAGTAAGATCACTCCTAGTAGTAAAGCTCTTTCCGCACTCCATGCATTTATACGGTTTTTCCCCTGTGTGGATCCTTTTATGACAAATAAGAGAACTGTTTCTGGTGAAGCTTTTTTCACAGTCCATGCATTTATAAAGTTTCTCCCCTGTGTGGATCCTTTTATGGGAAGTAAGATGACCGTTTTGACTAAAAGTCTTTCCACACTCCAGGCATTTATATGGTTTCTCTCCTGTGTGGATCCTTTTATGATACATAAGGGATGTATTTTGAGAGAAGCTCTTTCCACACTCCATGCACTTATATGGCTTCTCCCCTGTGTGGATCCTTTTATGGGAAGTAACATGACCGTTTTGACTAAAAGTCTTTCCACACTCCAGGCATTTATATGGTTTCTCTCCTGTGTGGATCCTTTTATGATACATAAGGGATGTATTTTGAGAGAAGCTCTTTCCACACTCCATGCACTTATATGGCTTCTCCCCTGTGTGGATCCTTTTATGGATAATAAGGTGACTGCTTGTCCAGAAGCTCTTTCCACACTCTGTGCATTCATGTGGTTTCTCCCTAGTCTGGATCCTTTCATGTGAAGTAACTTGACAACTTGTTCTGAAAATCTTTCCAGATTCCAAACATTTACATGGCTTCTCCCCTGTGGAGATCCTTTTATGAGAAGTAAGGGATCCATTTTCACAGGATAAAGTGAAAGTCCAATTGTGATTTTTTCTACCGTCTCTGCAGATAGAATCTTCTCCTTTGGTTTGGGTTGGAGAGTGTTCATTTACAACTAAT